ACTATAATCCTTCCCTTTCGCCTGCCATAGGGACTTGGACGTGATATCTCACTTTCCCGGCGGGCCTGGGTGAATGCTGACCCTGATTCTGAAAGGAGCATTGTGCTATATATTTCCCGAATCGAGCTTGTTGGGAGAAAATTATTATTTTCCGGGTTTGGTTCGCCCCCCCACCCCCCTGTCATTCCCCTGTCATTCGTCGCTGCCCCTTGCCACCGTCTAAACAACGGCACCCCTCCATCTGCCGCTCAACCTCCTGCCAGAACGACTTCGACGATGACTGGGCTTGCACGACGTTCGCTTGCATCGATCCAGAGGCAGCCTGCGTCAACGATGATGACATCACCGTCGACATGTTCGTCAACTGCGCATACCCTATCGATGTAGGAGACGGCTCGTGTGACCAAGGAAACAACAACGAGGCGTGCGGTAGGTTGTTGTCCTGTCACGTGTAGCCCGATGCCTTGCTTTTTGTCGCAGAGGCCTGAGGATGGTCGTTTCAGCCCAACACGCACCGGAAACACACACCCGCATCGAGTACAAGAATATGGTATGGCTTCCCCTCGACAGAGAATCTCCACAAACCCATCCCCAATGCTGGGGAAATATTCTTTGCCGGCTATCCCCCAATTTTTTGCTCCCAACTGGACTACACCCAGATTCCAGGGAAGGGTCGTAACAAGTTACACCTTCAAGCCCTGGGGTGTAGTGGTTTCGCCTAAAGTTCGGTTTGGGTAGCAGTGTCTTCGGCCGTTGACACCAGCACCAGCACCACAACTGCACGCACACCGTAGGATACACCATATGTCGCCCTGGACCCATTTTTCTCACTCGATTACACCACGACGAAGAGAAGGTACGAATGAAACGGTTGGGGTTTTCGGCAAGCTCTCGACGAGGCGGTTCTAACGCCGCCATCTTCTGGTTCCCACGCCGCCATTTCGACCCCACACCACTCTCTGCGCAGTGGCGGAATCGAGCTTCGAAAATAGAAGCGAACCTCGCTCTCACGATGGTCTTCAAGGACCAACTGCTGTACACCTGCCTTCGTTGAAACTCATCCGAGATCTCGTACAGTGTTCATCATGCGTGGCACGACCGACCGACCCACTACTGTTGTGCCCCCCCTCCCCACCATATGTTGTTTGTGGGCGCCGTCGTCGTCGTCCTTGCCGCCCTGATTTCCCAGGCTACGACGGAGGCGACTGCTGCGAGTGCACGTGCGAGGTATAGTACGCGAAGCATACGGTCCTCACGAGTCACTTGCAGCACACGGACTATTACAGGGCTGGCTATGTGTATTGTTCCGCGTATTTCTCTTCCACTCTCGGAAAGTCTACCCATACCGCCGATTGTTTCCAATTGGGACATGTTCGCGGACTTCGCCGTGGACGGCGATTGATTACCGTCTTAACATCTATAGGTTTGCCTCCAATGCGTATGATACACGAGAGGAACCCTTTCGGATTCCAAACATGTTGCGCCTGGCATGTTTGGAATCCGAACGGGTTCATCTCGTGTAGGTTTATCTCTTCTGTTTGCCTGCGGCTACTTCTCCCATGTTCTTGAGTCAAAAGTATCTGCTGTCGTTTTAGAGGGCACGAAGGGTTCGATTGGTGTTGGGTCGAATCTGAACCTACACACCGCCCTTAAGTCATATCATCTGTTCGACGTGTGGGCCGGTATTTTCTCTATCTCTCGTCTCCAAGACTTCGCGCTGAGTTGTCCCTCATTCTAGGTGTTCGTTTTGTGCTTCTTCTTGTCCTCACCCCCCTGTCAGAATGAACGTGACGACGACTACCGCTGCATGGAGTTTGCTTGCATCGACCCCAGCGCGCCCTGTGTAGACGATGACGACGTTACCGTCGACATGGTCGAGAACTGTGGCTACGTCTCCGGGATAGGCAACGGCTGGTGCGATAGAAACAACAACAAGGAGGAATGCGGTGAGTCACGGGATCCCTTGAGGACATCCTACATGGAAAGGTACAGGATATCGTTCCCGTACAGCTACGCGATAAAACGTGCACGTCCGTGGCCGCTGGAGTCTAATAGGTGTGATTGGTACAGTAGCGGGCCCTGTTTTAAGGCCACAAATTAAAGGCTGGTTGCCCTGTTTAAGGCCGGTGAAATGGCGTGGATGAATTGCCTTCGTTTTTAAGGCCACACAGGCCTTAAACAGGGCCGGGCCCTATTTAAGGCCGATCAGGACCCTCTGCTCACCTAAATAAGGCCGGCTTTTGAAGCGACGCGCACGCAGGTTCGGCCGCATTTGTTAGCTGCGTCACAGCAGCTCTCTACACATCTAGTCTACACAGCAAACCCAGCGTACCCCTGCCGACGCAACCAGTAGGGACACGTACATATGTCTTGTGCGGCTGGTGAGCTGTGCAGAATACCAGGGGAGACCCCGGTAGCCCCTCATGGTCACGTATGTCGCGGAGGGTGTGGCGGGCGCCTGCACGGACGGTGTGGTGAACGCGACCAAGATGGAGAGAATAAAACCGCCCGCATCTGCACTACATGTATTGCCTCGAAGTGTATTGCCTCGAAGCAAGCCACCAGTGATGTCTCCAAAGCTGGCAAGAGCAAGCGCAAAGGGTCAGTCACGGAGCGCGGTGGCGCAGCAGGGCCAAAAAAAAACAGCCAACCACACCCGGACATGACAATCTCGCGCACGCGGCTCAACATCGGCGAGAAGGTGGGGATCCTTGACGCTTCCCGTCCACCAGGTGCTTCGTGAAGGCCAAGGCGCTTCCGGACGAGATGGAGGCTGCGCTCACGGCCGTGCACGGGAAACAGAGGCAAACAGGCTCGGCGGCCCCTGCGGGAGGGCCAGTGCAGGGGTCTGCCGGTGGAGCTTCTGGCGGAGACCTTCACCGATATGAGCTCGTGGGTGCATGAAGCACAGGAGCAGTCCTGCGGTGTTGACCACGAGCTGATCGAGCTGGTGGCGCCCCTGGGCATTTCTGCGGGAGACCCTGCCGGCGCCGACGCTGTGCGAGCGGCTGAAACATGGGCCACGGTGGAGGACCAGCCGGATGTGGTGGAATCCATGCAGCAGGACGCGGTGGACGATATGACGCAGCTGCTGAAGGGCCAGCTGCTGGAGGGCGAGCGTCTCGCGGAGGAGAGTTCGGACGACGAAGCGGGCGGGGAACCCACGGCTCACACAGCACCACCGCCGTACGCGGCACTTTCGTCGCACTTCGGGGCTCTGGAGACGGCAGCAGAGGGAAGCGGCAACCACGACGCCGTTTTTTGTTTTCAGAAGGCTAAGATGGCGATGATCGCAGCGCATGCTTCGAAAGCCGCGAAGCAGACGGACATGAGGCAATTTTTGTAGACTCGTAGGCGCGGAGGAGGGGTAGAGAGGTCGGTGGGCTCGTCGCAGGCGGTACATACATGTGTTTCATTTTATTATGTGCCGTCTTCGTTGAACGGGTAGAGATTTCGGTGGGTGCTTCTGCGACAGTTGGGAGTGTGTAGATCGTTGGAGTTTCGTTGTGCTCGTCCTCTCCATCTGATCAGGATCACCGCTTGATCAGCATTTTTGTCGACCCTTCATTACTTATTGTGTACTTTCGTTGCCGTCCCGTACTTTCACGTCTGCCATATTTTCTTCACAAATTGTTTCCGGGGAAGATTGGACTTCATTCCATTCTCTGCATTTCTCTCTTTCCCGTGTAGGTTGGTAGGGCACAAAGTAAGTGCATTTTATTTTGGCCAGGTATGGCATGAAAGAGGGAGGTACTTGATGACATTTATTTCGGCGGACATCATCTACAGTTGGCGGGCAACTTTGGAAACATGCAAATAGATGTGCTGCGTTTGACATTTACATATTGTGTATGCCAGTGGTGCACATCCAGAGCGGCGCTGTGGCACTGTGATGGTGTGATGTGCACCCCTGCTGGCCTTCAGACACGTTGAACCCATTCCCCTTCCCGCACAGCTTGAGCGCACTACACCGCAGCACTCGCCATTCCTCACTAGGGCCAGTACCGGCCTTGTTGAGGAATTCAGAATCCCTTTTAAGATCGGTACCGGCCTTAAAAGGGGCCGTTTTCAGTATGGCCGGGTGCCCTGTTTAAGGCCGGTTTTTGGCCTTGGCACTACTGTAGGTGGCCTTAAACAGGGATCTCCTCTGTAGCTTAGACTGAGTAGAGCAGACATAGGTTCGTCTGGCGTGTCCCATCTTCTTGAGCCTACTTGGCTTGACAATGCCAAGAAATGCTGGTTCAATGAACGATCGGTGACGGGTAAGGGCGTCAGAACCGCGCTTTACTTTATCAAAAAATGTTTCTAGGGGTATCTCCCCTCATCTCCGCTTTCTTCGATTTTGGGCCCTAGATGCTGCTGGCGACCTACGAATATTTTCGGGGTTGGGGTTGACTTGCGCTCTCCTTCTCTTCTCTAGCACACAGTTGCTTCGTCGTCCAGCAGCATACGGCGGCGACAATGTTTTCCAACTCTTCTTCTCCCTTTATTGCGATGGACGCTCTTGTTTCGCGTGGTTGAAAGACCGCAGCGTGAGGCACACTCTTCGTTTCCTGCGCTTGCGTCGATTTCTTCCAAATATTTATAGATACTGTATTCAGTGACAATATATCAACACCACGTCGGGCCCGGCGGTGCCGACTACACGACACAACCACAAGCGCAACGCTTGTCTCGTTTTGCCCTTTGTATCCTCTTGTGATTCTGGTGACTTTCGTTTCGTTTGCCCCTCTTCCTTCTCGGCCATAAACCTTTGCTCGGTGTCCCTGACTTGAACCTTAGTCAGCTGTGATATTTCAGCACCTCGTATTTGCCTCTCCCTCCGCGGCTATCTCCTAGGCTACGACGGCGGCGACTGCTGCTCTTGCACATGCCAGAGCGCGTATGATGACGACTACTCCTGCAGAATCTACTTCGACTGCCAAGATCCTACCGCCTCCTGCTTCGGCGAAGGAACGACGGGGAGCGACGACTTCAGCTTCCACGACGACTACCAGCCAATGTCGTACGAGTTCCTCAGCTGGGAAGAGACAGAGTCCCTGCCTACGGTCGTTGACGCCGTCGAGGTGGGCACCAAGACCGAGGTTGGCGTATCAGCCACCGCCCATGATGTGCGGCCCGGCAGCAGCGGTAACGACGTCGGGTGCGGAGAGGTCGGTAGCCTTGGGTGCACGGCGACCAACACCCGTGATGGTATCGTCTCCGACATCGAGTCGAGGTGGTCGTGCGCCACGAGCCTTGTGCCTGACGAAGGGCCCTGCCAAATCGAGTTCACCTTTGCCGAACCCCAGAACATCGTGGACATCCAGGTCGCCTTCTGGAACGACAACGAGCGCGTCAGTACCCTGGAGGTGAGGACGACACCAATCAAACTGAAGAGCATCACGTTCTGACTCCCACCTACGACCAACCATACCTTTATTTCCCGTTACTGTTAGCCCCCAACAGCACGTTCGCCGCAGTGATCCACTGTGAGGAGTGCCTTTCAGAACATGTAAATCTTAGGCGTTTTGGGCTCTCCTAGCGATTGAGCGCCAAACGTACACACGCCGTGGGCTGTGAATCTACGTCCAAGCGGGCGACCTGTCCATACATCTGACGCCCATGCCAAGCGGCTTCCTTCGGCGATATCCACAGGCGACGCTCGAAGCAGACTTTAATTGTTTTGTACGCAACACCTTCCCCACACAGGTCCACGTCAACGGCGAGCTGACCCACACGCACGAGTCCTACGACGACACCTTCAACACGCTCGGTGTGACAGCTACGGAGGCCAGCACTGTGATGCTCGAGTCCGTCGCTCTCCTTTCGGACGAATGGATCAGTCTCCTCGAGGTGAGCGTTGTTTCCACGATTGATTGTTGCGAGGCCCAGCGGAACTTTCCAAATGCTGACGTCGAGGGGAGTTCTTTGGTCTGCTGCTGCTGTTCGTGTCCTCAGGCGTTGATATAGGAAGCATATTATGTATGGTTACCATCTTGGACATGAACCCTATCGAGCGTACTTGCCGAGCATCCGATGGATGTCATTTGGAAGGCAAAGCGTGGACTCCCAAGATGTCTCTTCTTGTTTGTCTAGTTCCATCCTTTTCGTGGACCATTCGGCGCGAGCGAGTCTACTGCACAGTGCTCACAGGTAGTATACCACGGCATGTTTCTTGGAACGTTCCTCTGGAGCAACCGCTCGTTCCTTCCTCCCTGTCGTCTCAGCCTGTCTCTGGGTGTGGTCCTGTTTCTTTGCTGTCCACCTACACACCAGGTGCAAATCTTCGTGACACCTTGAGCGTGGCCCAAGCCGAACGAACGCAACAAGAACTGAACTTGGATTTCTACGTGCGGGGCAGCTTTCTCGTATGGATGCCAACGAAAGTTCCTGGATCGCTGTCATCAAAAAGAGGGTTTGGGAACGAACGTGGACAACGTTGACGACGTGGTGTCATTCCTGTTCGTACACACGCGCGTTTCACCCCCGAAAATGCCGCTAGAATTGCAGAGGCGCCTCTCTGTCTTTGCAAGAGTGCCACATCTTCTGGAATCGCCGTCGCTAGTTGTCTCCGTGTTTGCCCTCGTGCATTTCTTCCAATGTACTGTAGTAGAGGATGTGACAGTGATAATAAGTAGTAGAGATGCCGGTAGAACGCTTGATATTTCCGGTCAGGGGTCTTCTCTTCAATTCCATTATGGATAGACGCCAGATGTCAACACCATCGTACTCGTTCCTACTACTTTTCTGGGGTTTGTTCCCAGGCCCGCCGATGAGGGCCATTTTTCGTTTGTTTGCAGAAATAGCTGTTTAGAGTTGAGGCAGGGCGGGCCAAAAACGGGACCGCCGCAGGCAAAGAATGGGATATTAGGAAGGTTTGTTCGTCGAAGCAGATGGAATAAACTGGTGTTTATTTTGTAACAGTCGAATTAGAATTTGGCTTCACGGTGTTTGGAATTATTAGTCTATAGTTGGGGGTGTCATTCCGTGATCGAGTCCACGCAGGGGCTGTAGCAAAGTCGGGTAACGTGTGACAGCTACAGAGCGCGTGAAGCAACGGAAGGACAGCAGCAGCCGCCTAACGCAGTAGCGGCGGCAGTTTAGAAAGGGACGGGAGGGGCCACGGCGCAAGCATTGGGGAAGCGACCAGCGCGCGCTCGGGACCCTCCATATTAAGGTGTGTACTCGTGTCCAACATCCATCGTGTCGGCCGTGTTCCTATCCGCGTCCCGCTATTCTTGTGACCTCACCGCTGCGTGCATTAGCACGAGAGGGGAGGGTGCAGTAAGATAAGCGGCGGCAAGCCGGCGTACCGCAGTCTCTCTCGCCACGCCGCTCAGATAGGTACCTTCCCAAACATGGGATGCGGTTCATCCCAACCGAGATGTACTCTCGCTGAACAAAAATTCAACGAAAAAAAGAAAGCGCGGGGCCTGTTGTATGGTGGCACGCTGACTTGTCGCGGTTGCTGTACGTGCCACGATAGCAGCCATTGTACTGCACGGGGTGGAGGGACCTTGCGGCATCGGACATAACCAATCGACCCGAGGCAGTAGGGCATGATGCTGTAACGCAGTAGCGGCGGCAGTTTAGAAAATCCCGCCCTCCCATCCCTTTTCTTTCGTAGGTGGGGGCATAAGTTCGGGAATATTCGGTATCTAGTCGGGTGTTGTAGAATGGTGTGTACCATTTGAGGACTTCGTCAGTTTTGAGATTCCTGCGTTTGCAGTCGTAGTCCCCCGGCTAGTATTTGTGGGGAGAGAGATGGATTTGTAAGAGTTGACGCCGGCCTTCGCAGCTAACGCGGCCGGAGAGACGATGAGCGTTTCGTGCGTCTCTCTACCCAACACGTAGCCTAGAAACCGAAGAACTAATGAAGCAATTCGAAAGAAAACAAAATAAACGGCGTTATTGTTCAGGAAAGCACTCACATAGTGTGTCACATTCACTTGTTTTTCATCGTGAAGCAGGCGGGGAGAGGGTAACGAGAGGATATTACCACTCGAATACTCGCCTGACGGCAAGAAAAGAGCAATAAAGAATGTTATCGCCTACAGCGAGACAAATTTGCCACACAATGATGCATTGGCTTTCGGCGAAAAATGTGCGCTTGGTTTTTTTCCCGTGCGTGACGCCGGACTCGGGCGGTCCGTGGTGCATTTCCTGACATTCCTTCAAGACAGCACCAACCGACCACCCCTTAATCAACGAGATCCCTGAGTGCTGGGTACAGATGGCGCCCGCACTTAAGAACCTTATTTTGGCCGAGGCTCGATGCATAATGGCTGCCTCAAATTGAGTACATGTTCTTATTTTGAAAGTTCTTAGTTTCGAGCAGGCATATCCATATGATAAACGAGGTTGTTGTTCTTACCTCTTCGCCGAAGGACCCAATCAGAGAAAAAACGTTTTTGTTTTTTCTGGGTGGATCAACCTGACTCTTGAGAGCAGCGTGTTCATAAAACAGAGTATAATAGAACGTCGCTCAACAGAGACGTCTGGACCCGACGTACCGCAGCTTCCGCGATCACCATTGGGTAGAAATACAGACGCGGCATCGCCTGACATAATGACGCATCTGAGCAAACATTGAACTATTTAGAGGTCCACAAGGGTCACGTTCGGCGTGATTGTCCTCCCCGCTCTACAAACGCCCGTCGTAGCTCTTCAATGCCCGGACCTCCTCCCTGCTCTACGGCGTTTCCCTCAAGCAAAGGACACGGCCCAACCACCGCATCGGCATCTCCACCATACTTGTTCAACGGCAATTTCGTGAGCGCGTACTTTGGTCTAGCCCGAAATAAATGCACACGGTAGTCGTCAAGGTGGCGGGTAGGCTCCAAGTGATCAGCTCAGCTAACCAGCCCATGCTCAGATTAACGAGCTCCACGCTGCAACAACGAATAATCAAGAGCAGCGAGTTTAGACGCTTGAATCTGAAAACCGGTGGGTGCAACATGTTCGTCGCCCCCGCGTCGACTCGATGGCCTCCCAATCTGACTTCGTGGGCAGTTGCCAGCAATGGCATGTTCTTTGATGACCTAGAAGTAGTGTCGATCAATGACACTTCGTCCTTCCAATTTTCACAGCTGGCCGAGCTCCTTCAACGTTTCAAGGGTAAAGACATGGCTCTCGTACATGGCACGCAACGTGGCAGGCACCCATGTCGCGCGACAGGGATACCCTTTTGTACAGCAAAGCTGTAAGCACCCACCCCACCCACCGACCAAGTTAAAATTAATGTGAACGCGGCTCCGAGTACAAAGGTCGGGTTCATGTAGTTGCGGAATGTCTCTTGAAGAAGAAGGAGAGGAGGTTGTACATGACTGAGCTGGGAAAAGTAGAAGGAAGATATGGGGAGATGTTTGAGGCATGGAATAGCCAGGAGAAGAAGGTAGCTGTACTGGGGCATAGAACGCGGGTTGATGAGGCGGGAGGTGATATCGATAGGATAGATAGGCTAGGGAAAAGGTTTTTAGAAACCTTTGGCAAAGTAGGAACGATCGGCCATCGGTCTTCGGTCCTGTGGAAACAATGCTCCGTCCTCTCGACGACGCGTGGTCAAAATTTTAACCGCTAAGATATGCAAAATATATGAGTACGCCCCGTTCATCCCCCCCTCCGCACCAGTGTTATCTGAAACGGAGTTCCCCTTCTCGCCGATGATCTGAAATTGCTGGTGGGTGGGGTCAACGGACACCCCGTCAGTCACCCTTCACCACCTTCATGAGTTCTTGTCTTGCAGCTACCGCGTTTGGGGGGTTTGCCCTTGTTAGAGGCCCCCGTGCCTTCCAACGGGGGCCACCGTGCCCACTCACGGTAGTAAGAGTTGATCTGGGGACTATCTTAGCCCAGGACCGATGCAGATGAGTTGAACCTTGATTATGACGCACCACCAGTGCCTTCCAGCACAATACACACAGTATCTTATGCAGACACACAACATACAACTGAACACATGCGCGGGGGGCTCTCTCTCGAGGGGCCCCGCACTTGGAGCCCCAATAGCATACCCCCCGAACACATATACTCTCCAGATCGGATCTTGTATCCAAGTACCCCAAACAAATCTTATCTGTATGCGCATTGTTACACCCCAAATGCGGGTTCTTGTTCTTGATATGTACCACGTCGGAACCGAGCACGTGCTCTTGTGACCAAGTTATTCTATTTTGATTTTTTTCGAGGCTGTATTTCTTAACTGCTAAGTTATTAAGCGCGAGCCCCATCTGTAATTGTTATACACGGCACGAGACGGGAGCCCGTTGCGCCCGTTTCACCAAACTGCTAGCGAAGACTTGTGCAAGACGTATGTTGCCCAAGCTGTCACAACGAGTTCCCGCTCATTCCGTGCTCAGTGCATCGGGGTACCAGGCATGTGTGTCGAACTTCTGTCCGATCGACGCGCCCCGCACAACAACATGTACGTACAGGTACCCCAGGGCCCACTGCAGGAAAACATATCCTCGCCCCACACGCTCTCTCTTTTCTATTGACCATAGGCATAGTGTGCGGTGCATATCAAGCAAACCAGCTTGGACCTAGATGAAACAATGGCACGCAAAAGACCGCGTTGAATGCCTGCACCGAGATACACCTGTAGCCATTCGGCTACCCCTGTGTGGACCTTGCGGGCAAATACACCCTGCACGGACACTGTGACAACCTGGGAAGGTAAAGTGATGGAGGGAGGCAAGGCTGGGTCTCTGGAATACCCGAAGCTTTTCCCCGGAGTTCCGTACCCGACCAAGGCGACGTCCTTCCGGGCCATCTGGCCAGAGGCTTTCGCGTGGATGAACGATTCTTTGAACATCGCTGCTGAGGTGAGCAATGAAGACAAGCGGTGCCCGGAGGTTAAGCTGTACGGCAAGAGGAGGATCCGGGTGGCGCTGCCGTTCATGATGCCCGGCTTCCGCCACCGTCACCGCCCGTCCAAGATGCACAGCAAGGGGCACGGTGCTTCTACCTGAACTCAGGCCACGATCATTCCTCGGCGACGCACAAAATCATCACCCAGGCTGGGGTGCCCACGTACTCCGAACACTGTACCTTTGGCTTCAGCAGCGAGGGCTTTCGGGGGGATGGACGTTCTTGGGGATCGGTAGGAGGGATGGCAGGGGTCCCCGCGGTGGCGGCAGAAGCGGCGGCGTCGGCAGCAGCTCCGGCGGCGACGGCGGTGACTTCTGTCGGCAATGTTTTTCCCCGCGGCGGCGGCGGGGGGAACGGCCGAGGCACCCGCGGTGGCGGCAGGAGCCGCGGCATCGGCAGCAGCTCCGGCGGCGACGGCGGCGACCTCCGGC